TGACTGACTGACTGACGGACTAATTGCCTGACTGACTGACTGTCTGACTGACTGACTGATTCACCGATTTATAGCCTAACTAACAGCCTTAGCTTTCAAGTTGCAACAACGAAAGGACTAGTGTTCTAATAGCTATTTTTTAGTGACTTCTTTTCTCTATAGCAGAAGGCTGGAAAGAAACAGCTACCCTAAATCGACTGTTTATCAGCTTCAGCTCAAAAGATTTGGCGTGGATCAATGAAAACCTCATTTCAATTTTTGAGAAGCATTCGATAGCTTACAGCATTCACAGCCGGGACTTTGAACTTGGGAAGCCGATCGTCCAAAACATGGCGGACAATGTGTATGGCAGCCGTCAGGTTTTGATCGTTTTGTCCCAGAATTACCTCGCCAGTAATTTCTGCCGTGAGGAGCTACATATGGCTGTCCAGAGGGGGATAGACTCGGGAGATTCGTCACTTATTCTAGTGATAATCAACAACTTAAAGAAAAAACAACTACCGACTGCTGTGAGAAACAAAAAAATGTTGGACTTTGACAAACATGAGAAAAGACAAGATTGGGAGGAGAAAATATTGAGCCAAATAGTCCTCGGCAAAGGCGAAGCTTCTGATTCTTACACTTCTAAGGTCTAAAGAGTAATAAATAATTACTCTAGAGAAAATCGAGCTAGCTTGTTTATAGAGCACAATTTTTGATTGGTCTAAATTTAAATGTTTCCTTCGTGTCATGGGAAGTCCCTCTTCTGACATGGGAAAAATGTAACCTGGCCTTATAGCAGAGAAGGATTCCAAATTACGCTATAAGTCATTTTTGCAGAGTTTACTGAAGGTGTCTAGTGAGACTAAACGCGTGTAACGCCAGGGCTAAATTTCACTTCATATCATTTGAGTACTTGATAATGTTACAAATTATTTTGAGTATCACACTCCTGTACTTAGTTTCAATTTGTTGCATTGCTTGGCTATAATTAAGGTACTTTTAGCCCGGCTAATGACTACGCTGACATTTACGCATGTATATTATCAGCGTATGAAATCGCACGATCTCGTTTACACTTCGGTCTTAAAGGCTACAAAATTTCGTGTGATGGAAGGAAATTCGAGTGTAGTTTGTCACAGTGTTTGAAAAATTCAGGAGTACTGATTGATCTCCATAATACAAGAGAAAAATCATGTGGGTTCTATTTTTTCTCAGTCGGAGCTAAATGTCGAGCGGTCATCAACTTTTTATGCTTGATATATCAAAAATATGAATTTAAACAAAAGAACGGAGAAAGTATGCGTTCTCTGATTGGTCGAAGTCCAAGATATTATAAACTGATAATTTCTTGTCAAAAAACCTGTCGTTAACTGTAGACTGAGATTAACACATGCCTATTTTATGAAAGTAATGAATTGCACTGTCTATCATTTACTGATATGATAACCAACGCTGGACTTTGGTTGAAATCGAGAAAAATTGTATCTCTTGTCTTGTGTTCGACGGCTTTTTCGCGATAATACTTTCCTAGCATTATAATTGGTGGTTTGGAAACTACCAATCATAATATACCGATGGATTCTTTTAAACAAGGTTTATATTCAAAGATATATATTCAAGGTATATGATAATAAACGCGAAAAGGTGTCGAGTAACTGACGATTTCTCAATTTTAACTGTAGACGGCTGGTCTTAATGGTAGATGCTTTGATAGCTTCCAATGCGTGGTTAATAATTATTTAAGGTAGAGTATTGATTTGTAATAGTTCGGAGCTCTTTACAATTGAACTATTAAACTAATTGGAAATATTGCATTTTTTTTAATCTTCTGCAATGGTTCCGGCTGGAAAAGCGTGGCGGCCTAACGGTCATGGCGCCCTAGACATCCTACAGGTGTGTAAATGGGTGGAGGCGAATTTAAAACGGGGAGTAACCATGTGACGGACTAGCATCCCATGCAGGGGAAAGGGAAAGTAGAAATATTTCGTCGCTTAGGCTGTATGGGCTACCGACCCGACGCAGACTTTTTTTAAATTCCAATACGTGCATCTCCATGAACAGTGCCGGTAAGTGTTTTCCTTTTTTGGGACCCTCAGAGAAAAATTTCGTATTAAATTATTTATAATTAAGTTGTGAACTCGCCATTAATTTTTAATCATCAATATTCTTATTTATTTATTAATTTACTTTTATTTTATTCAAATTGATTATTTTTCGGTTATTCCGGGAATTCTGGGTATTCCGAGTATTCCGGTTCCGGTTCCGGTTCCGGTTCCAAATTCCGGCATTCTATATTTTCCAAACTACTATTATGATTGGCTGATTGATTCCGACTGTGGGTTCAATTATCTTCAGTTTTCAATTTGCATAGAACTGATTGCGCCAGGTTCCAGATGTTGTATCAGCATTCGGTCGAAAATAAGGAGAAAATGGAAATAAATTCTGTAGGCTTCGCAGCTAAGTCTTTATAGATTATGCTAGTAAAAGTAGCATATTATGCTAATAGCATTGCTTTTTTTGGGCGAAATTATGCTAGAATTATGCTCTTTTTTCCAAATTATGCCCCTTTTTTTTTTTAAATTTTTAAAAATTATGCTCTTTGAAAAAACTGCAAATAAGTCCAAAAACTACATTATTTAATTAGAAGTCTACAAGAAAGAAACGCAACAAATCCACAATGAAATTCAAATAAACATGTGGTTCATGTTAACCCGGGCTCAGACCGTTTCAGACGCCGCTCAGTGATTCGCAGTGAACTACAAATGCTACCACTTGAACTAAAACTTAAAACATCGAATAACGTCACCAAGTGCTTCGGAGTAGAGATGAACAATGATCAAATCGTAGCATCAAAAATGATCCGATAATTATCAAAATATGCGAATTATGCCAGCATTGCTACTTGGCAGAAATTATGCCAGTTTGCTCAAATTATGCCAAAAATTATGCTAGCATATTCTATAAAGGCCTATTCGCAGCAATCTCCATGCCCCAGTGGATTAATATGTACGAGGTATTCGCTAATTTTTCAAACCGATGTTTTTAGCACAATACGATTTAAATCTTCATATGAAATTTCAGAAACTCTGGATGACGTTATGAAGAAAATAAAATGTTAATAAGGAGTTCCTGGAAGTTTCTTTGAGAATACCTGACCGCTCAATTCTTTTGAAATAGTCATCTCACAGGCTTCCAGAAACTTTTAGAAGTGTGCCAGAAAGCATTACCAAAGGCTATCAATACTGCACCTTTCTGCCATCATTTTAGAATTGCACTGGACTTGCCAATACACAACGTAAATATGACGAAATTCCATCATAATTGTGGGCTTCTAGAACCTTCTAGTATAGAACTGCGCCACTTCCTTTGAGAAAGCGTAGTCACGCACAGTGGATTTTAGGACTTTCTGCTATCATTTGAAGAACTGCATTGGAATTACTTTTATGCATTGAACTTGGAATTGTGATGCAATTTTAAGTTATTTCATAGGCTGTCAGAACCTTCTAGAACTCTTGCATTTTCATTAATTGAGAAATCGTTAGTCACACGCCGTAAATACAAGAACTTTCTGCCGTCATTTTTTCAACCGGCGAAGAACTTGTCCATAGATAATGAAATTATTATGTAATTCTATTAAAATATATATCTGGTGGGCTTCTATTACCTTCTGGAACTCTTTGTAAGTAAGTTTATCGAGACAGGGTTATTTTAGACGTAGATATCCAGTCCTGTGGAAATTTTTACTCAGAGGGTAACCGTTTTTGCTCAGATACTCCAAAATAAAATCTATAAATTACAAATAATTCAGACAAATTATCTTAAACGTGATTTTGTTTTCGTGTTTTACGCCTGGAATCGCCTTTGAATAGAAATATGTTGCACACATGATGTGTATGCCTTGGAGACATTGACTAAGTTTCAGACATAAAATGGGTTCAACAATTTTCTTAAATGGAAGCGTGTATCACTTTACTAGAATTTATCTTTGGATTTGGTATATATTTACTTCGCTACGTAAGGCTAGGTGGACCGTTTTCATATGGGGGTCGAGGAATATCTTGCGAAAACTCCACAAGGCGTTTTTGGTATCATCACTTTTGTCTTTTTCTGTTCATTTTCATTTAGATTAACCTTTGAATTGTAACTGATATCTGAATAGGTAAGTGAAAGAGTAATTAGATAAAATATGAATAACTCGATTGTAAAGTGTGGGAGTCTCTCCTTTGTCATTATAACCTTAATTAAATCATATGATTAAATACTGTGAATTAGTTGGTTTTATAGGATTGTACCGCGGAGTATCAATTTTCCGTTAGTCACATTTAACGTTAACAACAGGAGTGTGTTTTGCCTTTTCAAACAGTTTTTCTTTTGGAAAGAGCTGCAACAGAGAATGCTGCATTAAAAAATAACCACAAAAACAAACATACGCAAAATGTGACCACAAGTTTCTCGATAAAGAAAATCGTGAAACAATGTTACCTCACGATTCTTTTTTCGTTCCGCTTCTGTCATTTTCGTACTCAAGGTCAAGAGAACACAGCTTCTCTGTTCTCGTAAGCTGTTTGCAAGCTAATGTATTGAAATTATTATTTAGTTACTTTTGGGAGTTAAAGAGTGGACACGAATGGCAAATGACAAACTTAAAGAGTGTGTAGGTTGATTTGTGTCAAGATGCGACGATAACCTAACGCCCGCCGCTCTAATAATCCCTCTGGCAGTCTTACTTGCTCTCCAACTATTCCGTTTGAGTCCGCACGGACTTTCTTTATCCAAAACATTCGTTGTTTGTTTGTCTATTTTCTTCCTTGTCTATTTTCCTTTTTTTGTTTGCTTGCTTGTTTGTTGCAAAAGGTAATTCCGGGAGAGCTGATTACGGGCAGGTTTATCTCTCGATAACCATTCCTAGGCGGACAGCATTTTCCAAAAACACTTCCCAATTTCGGTAAGGAACTTGAAGACGCAATCAGCGGCTTGAGCCCGCGTTCATTCTCCTAAGAACATCCTGCCTGGGGAAATAGAGGCCAGACACTAGCTTATAGAGAGCAAGGGAAATCACACCTACGCCTTACAGTTAAACTAAAAAAAATCCAAATTCGCTTCCGGCCATCTAAGCTTTTCCTATTGAGATTGAATAGTAATGATAGAAGGTTTTAAGATCGCGGTCAATCGAAACGAGATTTGCCATATAAGTCAAAAGGGTCGTGCTCTTCCCTTTGCGAAATAAGTGCAATATTTATCCGTCTCCCAAAAATCGCGTTAGCGAAATGATCAATTTTGCTGATGTTATGTCTACAGTCTCTTTAAAACGTGGTATCTTTAAAACAATTTCTTATTGTAGAAGTGCCATGGGGAGAATCTGTAATTAGGACACCAGTAACCTTTCTTGGGCCCAGTTGAGAAAAATCTTAGTTACTTATGACAATCATTTTACAGAAGACCAAACAAGCTACCTCAACGACTCATGGAATGTTTTGAACGTCGATCCCTTCAGTGCCTATAATATTTAAGATTCACATTATGTGCGATGGGAACGTCGCTCCGCATTAAATTGAAATTGAAATTTTTTTCTTTAATCTAATATGCTCACGGAACATTTGCAAGTGGCCCTGAAACCAGAGACTGAGAATATGCAATATTTGCCTAAGGCAACGGCTACATGCTAAGCTACAGGAAAAGATACGTTACACCAATTAGTGCGAGAGTTTACACAGGCCTGTATACATGTATTTTCGTTTGCTTTTGTTAGAGAAAGCAGGGAGAGGTCTCACTTTCATAACTTATTAAATCAATAGTTTACGGCTTCAAGAAAAAAACGGATTCTGACAGGGGAACCCCAATTTTGTAACTTGGGGGCGGTTGAATTTTTCCTTCACCTTGGCTTAAGGTTAAAAATGAGAGAAAATATATTCCTTTGAAGAGAATCCGACGTGACTCGAGGAAATCACAGAATTTATTTTATCAGACAAAACTACAACTGTAGTTTTCTTCATCTGTAAATATTTGCAAAATGTTTGCACGCTGATACGGTTGTACGTGCAGCTATCTTGCTATGAAAGGAAGTTTACACGAAGGATCGACGTCTATGTCGTTTGTGCGGCACACAAATTAATTACACAACACTCCAAATGGGAATAACCCAATAATATACCATGTGATGATTCTCTAGCGATGCAAAGTGTTTAAAGACAGTTTGAATAAAATTTTAGATATAAAGAATAAAATACCATGGACCGACGATAACTGAAGTGATATCGTCGCATGCTAGTATTTGTACAAGACCATACAGGAATAATTCGGAGCATTGGAACACCTTGCAGCCACTGTGCCGGAAATTCTCATGTATTAACTCAAACGTGTCACGTAGATAAAAAATATAAGAATAATTAGGATACTCAGATAGAGAAAATACAGAATAAAACTAGGAAACAGGAACAGGAACTGCGTGCCATAACATGTCTTTGGGATCGGCAAGTACAATCGCACGATAAGAATCCAATTGTTTTCCTCCGTTGAGTCTGGCGTACTCTCCAAAATATATGATTGATGTTTCCTTATATCTTAAATGTGAATGATATCTAATCAAGAGTTTTCTCAACAAGTCAATAACACTGTGATAAATGGGAATCTACCAAAGTATTTGGATAAATTATGACCACGCAGGGTTGCCAGTTTTATAGCTGTAGAATGTGCGACATGTAAATTTTGGAAAAACCGCAGAGATAGAGTCACGCGAAAAGGAAATCAAGCAAAATCAACAAGCAAAAGATTTATTACCGTCAACCCGATAGACAATTAAATGAACGATTGTCCGAGTTCTAGAATCAGATAAATCATGGTTAAAATATTTTAGAATTATGCTTTTCAGTGTCACCCCTGATATTTGTGCCAAATAACTTTCAGTATGTTCAATGTAATATTTCGAAATGATAGCTTTCAAGAGCCTCATAACCTTCTCTATTCCTCCCCCTCCCGCAATCGGCTAAAGAATTTTTCTCTTGCGAAACTGCTACATCAAGGGAATTTAAGAAGTTAAGTCATTATGCCGGCATAACAGTCTATGTTCTGACCATCGAGATAAATAAGTGTTGACAGGCATAAAATGTCGGACCCAACCGAGTTCTTGCGGAGGGGCGATATAGATTGCACGTATTCGGTAGTGAATGCAACAAAATATTATTGTACTTTTACTGTAATCCTACGGTCGTTGAAGTTTAAAAAAATCCCACGTTTCCTTCCTTGCTAACGTTGTACCACTTGAAAAATATGAAAATCGCAAGAATCCAGCCTCATCAAAATCCACTTAACGCTTTGGAAAAGGAAGGAAAAAGGTGGAAATTACGGGAGACTAGTGAGAGCAAGAACAAGAACTCGCAAAAAACACGGAAAAAATTGAACTTCGAAACACATCCTTCCTCGCTATTTTTCTACACAGTTGAATTAGGGATTTTTGCGAAAATTGAATAAAAACCATTTGGTTGTAAACACGGCGTCAAGGTTTATCGAACGCCAAGTCTTAGTCCCAGGAAAATCCAGCCTGTTATGATAAAAGTCACGACTGGAGTGGCATGATCGGATAGGGTATATGGAAAAATAAGGTCGAGGGCGGGTTTAGAGTCTCTTGTCTCAATATCCATGGCAAGATATGATTTTATACATAGTTCGTGGTACAAGAGGTATGTGTGGACGAGGAGTAAGCCACCCACACAATAAAGGTGAAGATATAAATTCCCTTGAGGGTTATTGGGGTAACTAAGACGAGGACAATAGTTGTAGGTGGCTGGAACGCAAAAGTCCAACGCTCTGCAGACTCCATAAAGATATTGCACTTGTAAGAAGTATTTACCTATATATTGGAGACTTCTAGGTTCACTGATCGTTGCAAATAGTTGATAAAGTTATATGATGTTCGTAAATATGATTTGGAATTCATTTAACATGAAACAAGGCCATGTCTGTATATTGATAAGGTACTAGCAATAAAATAATTTGTCTGAATCGAAGTGTTCCTTCTTTAATAACATCTGTGAAGCAATGTGATCCAAAGAAGTTAACGAAAGCCATGTTTACACTAAAATCTATGGTCTTTATCTTTGACTTAGTGCATTTTGAGAACAAAAAAAGACAACATCTATTTCGATCGGAATTCAGTTAATCTTTGTGAAGAATATGATATGACGTGTTTATCTGTGGCAGAAAATGTAACAGTTATGTTTTCTTAGTCGTCTTCCACTCTGGTACATCATCACCAAGAATGTCCCCCACCACGTGGGTGTGACATTCTAAGAATATAGAAAAAGCTTTTTAATGATAAAAAGCGGAAAAAAAAAAAAACATTTACCGACAATCATGAAATATAGTAAGGAAAGAAGCCCCATGCCTTTGGCATCAGTTTTGTGTTTAAAATAGATAAATTTCTTTTTGAGACATCTCATCCAGGCTTTCATCAAATGTCACGTTCCTGGTTACAAGCTCTGACTATACTAAGTGATGTGAGGTATCCGCTCCAAGGAAACGATTTAAACTGTCGTGTGCATTCATTAATGATATAATGCATTTGATAAAAATTTTTTGTTAGCTCAGGTCACATTTTGCGGGACAGGGATTTTGTTTGGCGAGGACAAAAAGTAAATCCACTCTATTTATGAAGACAAGTTCTAGAACAAAGAAATTAAAGAAAGATGATTTTTTTTCTTGTCACAAGAGCGGTACGACGACAAAAATGTTTGCGCACCCACGAGGAATCGAACTTGAGACCTTCACCCTTCACAACTAAGGTTTTTCCAATTTTCAGTTTTTAGATGTGTTTGTCTTTCTAGAATAATTCTTTATCCCGCACTACTTTACAGATCCGATATGAGTTAACTAATTTGACCGCCCTTTAGAAGTTAACACATGGGAGAACGCTATATACGTGTCAATAATGATCCAAAAATTGATCCACCTTTGAAACGCGCGCCTTTGAGGGAGTATGTTGATTTAAAGCGTAGCGGAAGGGGGTATACGGTATACCTTCACTTAAATTTCCCAAAACGTTATAAGCGTAGTTAATTGGCACATGGAAACCTCTCGTGGTCGGTTTTTTAATACCGGATAGGAAGGCAGTAGCTCAAACATAATCATCCTACATTCTATTATTTTGGTAACCGCAAACCTGATCATCAGGATGATGGCATGAGTTTAAATATTCTTAGGAGCCAAGTTTAATTACCCACCGCCCCATTAGCCCAATGGATGGTGCGCTGGACTGTTGTGCGGGAGGTCGAGGGTTCGAGCCCTGGCCGGACCAACACTCAAGGTCTTAAAATAATTGAGAAGAATTCGCTACCTTTCTATAACATCTAGAAAAGGTTAGACTATTCTAGTCTTCTCGGATAGGGACGAATAAATGGAGGTCACGTCTCCTGCAGGGTTGGGGGTAGGAGACGTTAATTTCCCACGCACGAGATTACTGTGTGATGGATGGCCTCCCCGGGGTGGGATGGTGGGTACAAAGGGGTTAGGTGTCAATTGGGACGAAAGCTCTGTTCCTTTCTACTGCCACTCCAGTAGAGAATGGATTAAACTTAAACTTAATTAAGCTGCACACGCATTAGTTTTAATTACACCGTGAAGCGTGGGGGCTGGGAAGGTAACTGCGAGGAATACTTCATGATTTGTAGACTCTTTCTATCTCCTGCTCTCATTCGGCTTATATATTCCTTGGTGCCTCTTTTCTTTGAAAAACTATTGTTTCAGGTTTTTACTTGTATATCCAGGTAACTTTTGAAGTTGCCAGAGCGACTGCATGTAGTGGCTCTTTGAAGAAAAAATTTTTTGTCTCTTCTTGATGTGTACTGAGTGCGCATGTGTATAATGTGACCTTGGTCTAAAATGTATATTTGATTTGGTTTGTTTGTCTGTACTTCATTCAAAACGATAAATTTCAAACAATAAAATTTTGCTCTCGTAAAATTATAAAACCCATTTTAACCCTTAACATGACCGCAGATGTCTGACAAAACTTCCCTTAAGATTGTGTTTTTTCCGCTTGTACATTTTTTTATGCCATTAATTAACCTTGTACCGACAAACAACGGCGTGGGAAAAGATACTTTGAAATAGGCCTTTAAGAGAACTAGAAATGATGATAGAAAAAGTGTAAGTCTCCCGTTACACTTCCTTTTTGACCCCTCGATCCAAGTGTTTCAAACAATCGACACAAAAATGCACTCACATTTCACCCAGATAATTCATTTTCACCATTTCATTTCAATTCAACAAGATTGCTATTAGTTTTTTTTTTCCTTATTTATGCCTGGTGATATTTCCATGTTGCGCTGTCTAAAAAGGGTTGCGCAATCTTGTTCCTTTTCGTGAGATATACTGTAATTTCCTTTTCAAGAATGTTTCCTGCAGTTTCTAGAAAAACTCATGGTGGAAATTTTGGAGACAAAAATTACCTCTTCTGTTAAAAGATCTCTAACACGAACATTGTAGGAATAATCGTCGGTAAAACAGTTGAGGTAAAACTTGTATGTATTTTATTGAGGCTCAGGTTGCAATAAAAGATCACTTAAATTACAGCTGAGATGTCATTCCCCGTCCTTGTCATCTAAAGAGGATCAAAATGTGTTCTCGTAAATTGTTTTTTGTATAGCCGTTTCACATTTTTGTTTGATTAGATCAAGCAGATTAAATGACTGCTTCCGGGCAGAACTTTTGACAGGACTAAGTATTAACAAGCAATTATCCTGTAACTTCCAATATGTGGGCGAAATTCTCGAAGAACACACAGATTGATCAAACATTTTTATTTCCATATATAAACAAGCGTAGGCGGAGGTAAACCATGGAGAATTTCTGGGCGGAAAGTTATAAAATGAGAACCATCGAAACGCGGTGCAGCAGTGAGTCGTCAAGCGGGGGAAAGAAGGATGACAAATCTGGCGAAAAGCTACGGACTCTGCCTGATGGATGTTCTTTTGCTGAATTTTCTGTCGTCTTTGATGATTCAAGGTATGTTTAGAGGCCTGCGTTTTTATTCTTCCACAAAATACCCATGATATCAGAGTAAGGATATTCATCTTACGAGACGTGACCGCCAGCATACCTTTTTTGTTATATGTTGTTTTTTTTTTTCCTTTGCTTTTGGTTTTGCATGGTTAACACAATAAAATGATGAATGCACGCGACAGTTTACATCGTTTCCTTGAGGCGGATACTTCACATCACTCAGTGAGAGCTTGTAATCCAGAAACGTGACATTTGCTGAAAGCGTGGATGAGATGTCTCAAAACGAAATTGAAATATTTTAAATTCAAAACTGATGCCAAAAGCATGGAGCTTCTCTCCTTACTATATTTCATAATTATCGGTTGACTTTTTTTTTTTTTTTTCCATTTCATGTACCGGGAAAAACCATGATATAACCAAGAGTCACTCAGCTTCACTGAGATGCACAGACGTGTCCCCGCTTAATCCAATTTATTCTAAAATTTGATTTAATTTTAGAAGAACATAACATCAGGATTTTATAAAATAAGATGAAGCTTAAAAGGTCATAAATAAAAGTAAAAGATTTAACTTGAAAAACTGAGCTTCGGAAAAAGACCTCTCTGTTAAAAATTTGTTTCACCTGCGGTTTTAAGATGCAACAAAATTCTTCGGAAATGTAAGAACAATCTGTTTTCTCGGACAAAGAGCTATAAAAGATTCGAAAGAACAGAAACTGTGCAACATTCATATAAACTCGGTATGATAAACATTCCCGTTATGAAAACTAACGTGACCCTAAAAATTGCGTATCCTCTTCATCTTACAACCCAGCTCCTTAGATCATCTCAACCATCTCTGCATGCTACCGGGATACTTCGTGCCACCCCATGCAGGTTCGATTTGGCACACATCCTACCTTTGTTTAGGAATAGTAACGAGGAACGTTTTCTGTAGTGAAACAGGTAACATTGGAAAGTTCTTCCGCCCGGATGGAAAAAAAAAAGGATAAGATAGAAAAAAAGGGACAATTATGACTTAGCTGTAGCAAAGCTGAAAGAAATAGAAAGGTGGATAAGGAAATTATTTGACGAGAAGTACGTGACTTGCTCTCCACGGCCGACCCATATAAGCCCACGTGAAAGGAAAATTCATAGTAACAAATATACCGACAAATATAAACTTCGAGTATGATTCATACCCCTTTTCATGTCCTCCGAGCTAATAACGCAAAAAGCTTGCCATATAGGAGAAAAGGTTATCTTTAAACATCACCTTGGCTCACTTGAAAGCTCGTTCCCATCAAGAACAAGGACCACTTAATCCTTATGAAGGACGTCCTTCCGGCTGGGTAATTGCCGATATAATGACAAAATAACATTTCAGTGAGTCTCCCAATCAGGGGTTTTCAGACCCAGTGTAAACATTATAATGAAAGCTATCTGTGAAAAAAAAAAAAAAAGAAGAGGTTGAGGCATCTAAATATCTACCAATAAATTCATCTCCAACCGAAATGTGCATCAGTGAGTCTGCCAGATTGGGACTCGACAGTTCCATTTCGGTCATCGAGCTTGATATCCCGAGTTTAGACTGAGTCGAAAGTTTATAACACCTGACATGTACTGCAAGCTCAGGCCGTGAAAATTTGGTACTTAAAATTTAGACTGAGAATTCACGGTAGATTCTTCCTTATCAGTATAGAGTTTACTGCATGGACCACCTTCAAAAACACTGAACGGCTTCGTTTCTGATTTCTGTCATGCCTAATTTCTGTGATGCCGATGTAAAGGCCGATCTACATTTTAAGCGACCTAAATGGTAATTTGTTAAACACGTCTCACGTCGACCTTACCCCTCATCACGCTCCCGTCGACTTCTACTCATCATTTAGTTTAACCCAACCCAAAAGGTCACAGAGTCGAGTGCAATCTTGATTATTATTCTGGAAACTAAAAAATCGACATAATGGTCATACTTATTTCCATCAGTAAACACGATTTACTTTACGCCTTTCTAAAGCTGAAACCACTTCGTCTTAGGCCTGTGAACAATACGACCAGCAGTTTCAAGAACTATTAGCAAGGGCTTTTCTTAGGAATGTTTCTATGGTTCCTTGGACCATCGTCTATAGTTTCGACAATATTGACGACAGCCTAGATAGATAGATAGATAGATAGATAGATAGATAGAGAGATAGATAGTTTATTTGAATAACATTGCAACCGAAGGTTGAATTACGTATTCATTTACAAATTTAAGAAATATATAAAAATGTTAACATACTTTTAAACTATTAAGAATTAGGTAACATAGATAGAGTCAGCCTCTCTGCATTCAACTCTTACTTCAATGAGCTTCGAAACAAATACACATAAGAAAAGTTAAGTATCGAGATAGGTCTATCTGCATGTAACTGACGAAAACAGCGGGCTTATCATGTGCAAACTAGGGACTGGTGGCGAAAAATGGGTTGAAGAAAAAGTAGCATTGATGCGTGGTTCGCCTTTATAAACCTTAAACAGGATGTTAAGAGAGAAATAAGATCAGCAGAACACGTGTTTATTGAGGATCAAATCAACAGCGAACCTAACAATTCGAGCCAATTCTGGACGACTGTTCTATTTTGTTTTCCAAAGAAGTCTGCCAGTCTAGGATCGTTTAATAAAGACGATAAGATCGTCGATAATGATTTTAATCGTTTCTTTACTTCTATTGGGGAAGTTGCTGTTGATCAGATTAATTTACTTGCTGATGATTGCCAACACGACCTTCCAGCATTAACGTTTTTAATGACAGTTATACATACACACATAGTTTGGTTGACCACTCCCCATGGGACTTTTGCAGGGTCAATCTTACAAAACTGTGCGGGGAACAATCTAACAGATACCCCTAATTTCCAGTAAACCAGCCAGACCACGACACTGGGAGCTACATTCCCTACTCTTTGGGATAAGTGTGTGAGTTCTTTAACTTCCCCACTAACCAGTACAGAGAAGATGCAGGAGACGGGGCGAACGGTTTTTCATCCTTATCCGAGAAGACTAGAATATCTAACCATTTTCAGATAACATAGGAAAGGCAGCACATTCTCCTCAGTTATTTTAAAAACCTGAGTGTTGGTCCGGTCGACTGGGGCTTGAACCCTCGACCTCCCGCACGGCAGTCCGGCGTTCTACAACATGAGCTATCCGGGCGGCAGTTATGCTACAGTTATTTGGATGACACTAAACTTTGCATGTTCCTCCCAGACTACGACTGAGCTACGGCTATTTCTCATATGAACGACAGGTGCTTCGTCGACTCCAGTACCCTAAAAAACTTTTTGATTCGAATCTTACTTTTCGCGACCATATTGTTAAACTAGTTTCTTTCCCGTTCTCAAGTTTCAGTCGTATCAAGCACGTGTTTGACAGGTCGACTCAACCTTAGTAATTAACACTCAAGACCTTTGTAACCTGGATCATTTGTAGTCCCAGAAAACGAAATCACGTTACCCCATTTTTAATAGACCTTCTCTGGCTTCCTGTTATTTCACAGATGTATCTCCGTGATGCTGTGCTTGCCTTCAAGTAGGGTATAATTGGCTCCACTCTCTCACAAAAAATATCGTAGTCATAAAAACGTGATGAGATACTCGGTCTCACGAACCGAAGCTCCCAACTGTTCAAATCTTAATTTTTAAGACTAGATCCGAACAAGACCTCTTCTACCTTCTATCTTTTGTCAGAGTCGCTGAAAAGCCCTCTTTGGGGAGTGTCAATAACGTTCGTATTGCATTGTATAGTGCCCTCCATTTATTTCATTACTGCGCTTCAATTTACCATCCTTCTTTTTCTATTTACTCACACGAACTTCCAACATTACTGATCTTATGAACATTCAGGACACGTGAAAAATATGAGCCAAAGAGTTTTTGTGGCCCAGTTGCAGTGCATCGGGCAAACCGATGGTCTAGGCTTCAAGATTTGGAAGGTTATTTTAGTCTCATGTCATTATTTTCCCTTCCAAATGCTCATGACACGATGAAGAAACATCTCTCCTTAATTTTGTTTTCTTCTTTCCAAAAATACAGATGTGTCATCCGCACCCAGCGCAAAGTGCGAAATAAAGTCTTCCTGCTCCCTGTCGTCGGGCTGCCAATTCACCAACCAGATGACAGTAGATCCAGGCTCCAAAATTCCAACCAACTGCTCCGTCAACACAGGAGGGAAGGCCAAAGTCGTGACATGGAACCAAGCGAAACAGCGAGTTGGTACAAGTAGTGGCGGCGTATCAGATCTGGTTTTGGAAAAAGTGAGTTCACCGGCGAGTGGAAGTTATTCATGTGAATGTACCTCTGTCAATTTTACACGTAAGTATACCTCGCTTTTATCGATCAATCAATCAATCAATCAATCAATCAATCTGTCGAATTCCAGCGATTATGCGAAAAGGGTGGGGGGGGGAGGGAAGTTAGGAATTTGTTTGAGGCGTTGGTGGTAGAGCAAAGAAAGCTTCGATTGCGGTTCGCCGCCGACCCTGCTTCTGTCGTGGTATACCGACCTCGTCAAGCAACTTACAACACATTAAGCAGAAAACATAGAATTTGATAAAAAAAAAATTGTTAAAAGCCAATACACCTTGAATCGCCAGTCTTCCTCCTGTTCCAGATGAAAAATATTGAAATAGCTAACACCTTGACTCAAAAGGCGTTTACTCCTTTTTATTCGCTCCTACTAAAGGTTATTCAACCTTGAAAGTGACACTGATGAAGACACATCGTGATACACCATGCTCAAAAATTTCTTTGTCACTTCTAATATTCATCATGAGAGACGAGGTGTCCGACTGGTTAGCGCGATGGACACCGGGTCGAAATTCTGGGTTGGAGACCTGGCCGAGTTATTGTGTTGAGTTTTCAAGAAAAAAATCACTTTACATTCAAATTTTCTCTCTCTTAACAGATGCTTAAATGTTTAAATGGATACTGGCGAACTGTCAGAGGGGTCTAATAAAATACCACGAGGGGTCCTTTGCATCCTATCCTGGGGGGGTAGTACTATTCCTAGTCGCGTAAAGCTATGGGTAGGCTCCGGCTAGATGGGCCAATTATCTCGTGTACTTTTCCTATCTTAACATTCGTCAAGATATATCTATTCAGTAGTTTTATCCATCCTATTTTCTTCAGGCGATCTTCAAGTCATTCTGGGCAGTAGCACACCGAATATCATAACAAAAGACAAAACGTTTGACTTGGAATGTCACTTCGTTGGATGGCCTCTCCCTACCACCGTAAATTGGTACAAGGAAAAATCGCTCGCCAATAACGTGACCCATACACTGATCACCAATGGTACCATGAGAATGTACCATTCGCAAGAAAAAGCATGGAAGAATGGTAAAGAAATACTTCGTAGCAGTCTTCATTTACCATCAGGAACCGAGGACCAAGAAGGATTCTACACCTGCAAGGCACAGAGTACAATTATTGGATGGTCCAGTAGTGCGTCATACACGATACAGATGATCTATGAATGTAAGTAATTTTCCGATTGCGGTAAATATTGCCTCTCGTCATGGCTAATATTGCAAAGCTGATCAATAGGGACTGAATGTTGTTTTTGAAACGTTTACTGAAACCCAGCCAAAATAATTTCAACATTGGACTGATTAAGAGGTATTTATTTATTTCAACACAGGTCCATTACCACAAACCCCGACTGTTTCTTCCTCACAAATTTCGGCAAGCAAATTCTCTAATGTCAGCCTAACATGTTTAGTTGATACGGATGAGAGTGGCTGCCCCGAGGAGTTGTACTGGTTTAAAAACAACGACAAAACTTCGCTAGCAAGCGGTGGAAGGTACAACATAGCACTGAAAAACACTCACACCAAATGCCAACAGGAATTCATTCTGACAATTTTTAACATCACTAAGAATAATGATGAAGGAATGTACAGTTGCCACTGGATATGCGAGTACGAAGAGACTAAGAAAGCTTTCATTGACCTCAAAGTATCTTCTTGATTAGCAACAGGTGAGAATGTTTTTAGGCGGAATCATTAGTCCCTAATGAAACTGAGTCAGTTCATCGCATTCTAATAGAAATTTAACAACGTGGTCGCTTAGATGTTTAAACTCGACGTTTTTTCCCGATAAAAAAAATGAGGGCAGAGGTAATGCTAAAATTTCAAAGTTAGGTTAACAATACGACTAGCTCAAATTGAGAAAAAAATTCGTTGAAAAATTAGGAACAACTTTGATTTAACATTGACTGAAAATTTCGCAACGTACGCAACATTTGCGAAGTTTTGCCGACCGTAAGACTTGAAGGAATAATCTCGCTAAATTTGAGCGTTCTTGAGAGTATATATGATACTGGTGGATCTCCGCTCTAAGTTTAAAGATCAAAATCCAAACTAGCCTTACCTTTAAAAACTTTTACCCTGTAACTTACCTTGGTGCTCCTTTAACATTAAATGGGATTCTAAAAGAGCAGAAAAAAAATCAGAGCCTTGTCTTGAGTTAAAGCGCTCAGTTTTTAATTTTTTTCCCTTTTGCTTGCAGGAACCCAGCTAGTCCTGGATCATCGTTATGTCCAAGTCCGCTCATTTCTTAATCAAAGGAACTTAAAGAAATTGCAGCCTCAAAAAGGAACCGTTATACCAAGTTTAGATTAGTTCTGTTTGCCATGAATTTTTTAAGCTGAACAGTTTTTCTATCAATTCGTTGCCTGTCTCTAGCTATCTGAGTTTTCAGTTCTCACTATAGCATTTCAGTGTTTGAGCGATGCCATGCCGTTGTTTAGAATTAAGTGTATAAACGCGACTTTGAAACACAATGAAAAATGTGCGGTGAACATTAAAAAGTATCTATAAACCTGAGTCTCCATAAACGAAAACTTGTTTTAAAGGAAACATTACCAATGCTTTTCAATAAAGTACTTGCTTTAAAGTCACGTTTACAATGACTCAACTCTACACCGTTCATTTACTCTGCATTTGTTTCACAGAAACAATATATAGCTACATAACACACACAAAAAAAACAAAAATCAAAACAAAAAAAACATGACTAATTTGTATAGGTAATCGCATGGGGCCGAGTGAAATAAGGATTAATATCACGCGTGTTTTCGGAAGTTGCTGAAATTGCCCGAGTCGCGCAGCGACGAGGGCAATTTCTGCAACTTCCGAAAACACAAGTGATATTAATCCTTAATTTTACGAGGAACCATGTGATTACTTGTTGATAATATAAGGGGCAAAATGTTTTCTTACTGACCTCGCGCAAAACGGGACGCCATTGTTACAAAACAAACAGAAATTTCTTTACCTTGGCAGCCGTTGCTAAGCGATTTTCAGCCAATAATTTTCAAGTAATTTTGCCCGGGGCAATTACAAAAATTAAGAAAAAATGTCCTCTATCTTGACCAATCACAATTCAGTAATTTTGCCCCTTCTATGACAGATATTATAAAATTTTCAACTTCGGGGATATTGCATTTCTAGTCTTCCGATTGGCTCACTCAGCTCCGGTTATTAGCTCACATACCGGGTCATCTTTTATGGGAAATGATTCATCTAAGTGTTGCTAGGCTGAATTTACTTTTGGCTGGAAGCAAACACTTCTCCCGTGCATTAGATAAACAAATCCTTGTCAGAGTCATCTCTGTAACAAAAGTAAAAGCCACAAAGAACGACTTAACATTATTGACTGGTACACATCTTGAAGTTTGATTGATGATTTGGGCACTTCACATTAATTTTTTATGGTCCATCTTGCAGTTGTCTCCAATCCTCCTCGAAATGAACAATCTTCCAGTTCTCTTTCGATAAAGCTTTCCAGACAGTCCGTCACTCCCGCAACAACTAACAACTACTACACGAATGATTCCTCATTTACATTTACAAAGTAGTCCAGAACATCCCGGTAGCTTACAGCACAACCATTTTGGTAGAATTACATCAAAACTAAGTCACCTAATAAAAATTTCTAGAAAGTTCCACGGTGTGCATGTCAACATGGCTAAGCATTCTAGAAATTTCAAGAAACTTATCTTACAGTTATTATCTATAATAGTTGAAATTTAGAGGGCTCCCTCAGCATCATCGTAAAGTGGAGAATTTTATGAAACGATTATTCCATTTGCGCTTGTTGCGGATACGACATTGGTTACAACCAACTCGGCACTATACGCTTGGTTGGCTGTTTACCATCTCATACCCACCGCACGCTCGTGGAATAATTGTAAAACAAATATAAGTAAATAGCATTTACAAGAGAGCATTGATAATAAGAGGTTGAGGCCATAAACCATAGATAAACTTTTTATTGTTTCAACAGTTTCATCGACACGCTTTTCACTATGGCCAGTGTGCTTACAATATGTTCGCTGAGTGTTTTCCAGTACGCGTCTGTGGTTAAACCAATGAACAAATCTCTTAACAACAACAAACATATGAAACATATGTGTGAACTGCGGTTATGAGACGTATATGAGAACGATCCTTCGCAGTAAAGCACTATTTGAGCAATAGTGAAAATCAGACCTGAAAAAAATTTCAGGCCTGTACGGGATTCGAACCACTGACCTCTGCGATACTAGTGCAGCGCTCTACCAATTGAGCTAACAAGCCAACTGGGAGCAGGCCATCAAATTAATTCGATATAAACCCGTAGATGATAAATCAAACAACAACAAACATATGAAACATATGTGTGAACTGCGGTTATGAGACGTATATGAGAACGATCCTTCGCAGTAAAGCACTATTTGAGCAATAGTGAAAATCAGACCTGAAAAAAATTTCAGGCCTGTACGGGATTCGAACCACTGACCTCTGCGATACTAGTGCAGCGCTCTACCAATTGAGCTAACAAGCCAACTGGGAGCAGGCCATCAAATTAATTCGATATAAACCCGTAGATGATAAATCAAACAACAACAAACATATGAAACATATGTGTGAACTGCGGTTATGAGACGTATATGAGAACGATCCTTCGCAGTAAAGCACTATTTGAGCAATAGTGAAAATCAGACCTGAAAAAAATTTCAGGCCTGTACGGGATTCGAACCACTGACCTCTGCGATACTAGTGCAGCGCTCTACCAATTGAGCTAACAAGCCAACTGGGAGCAGGCCATCAAATTAATTCGATATAAACCCGTAGATGATAAATCAAACAACAACAAACATATGAAACATATGTGTGAACTGCGGTTATGAGACGTATATGAGAACGATCCTTCGCAGTAAAGCACTATTTGAGCAATAGTGAAAATCAGACCTGAAAAAAATTTCAGGCCTGTACGGGATTCGAACCACTGACCTCTGCGATACTAGTGCAGCGCTCTACCAATTGAGCTAACAAGCCAACTGGGAGCAGGCCATCAAATTAATTCGATATAAACCCGTAGATGATAAATCAAACAACAACAAACATATGAAACATATGTGTGAACTGCGGTTATGAGACGTATATGAGAACGATCCTTCGCAGTAAAGCACTATTTGAGCAATAGTGAAAATCAGACCTGAAAAAAATTTCAGGCCTGTACGGGATTCGAACCACTGACCTCTGCGATACTAGTGCAGCGCTCTACCAATTGAGCTAACAAGCCAACTGGGAGCAGGCCATCAAATTAATTCGATATAAACCCGTAGATGATAAATCAAACAACAACAAACATATGAAACATATGTGTGAACTGCGGTTATGAGACGTATATGAGAACGATCCTTCGCAGTAAAGCACTATTTGAGCAATAGTGAAAATCAGACCTGAAAAAAATTTCAGGCCTGTACGGGATTCGAACCACTGACCTCTGCGATACTAGTGCAGCGCTCTACCAATTGAGCTAACAAGCCAACTGGGAGCAGGCCATCAAATTAATTCGATATAAACCCGTAGATGATAAATCAAACAACAACAAACATATGAAACATATGTGTGAACTGCGGTTATGAGACGTATATGAGAACGATCCTTCGCAGTAAAGCACTATTTGAGCAATAGTGAAAATCAGACCTGAAAAAAATTTCAGGCCTGTACGGGATTCGAACCACTGACCTCTGCGATACTAGTGCAGCGCTCTACCAATTGAGCTAACAAGCCAACTGGGAGCAGGCCATCAAATTAATTCGATATAAACCCGTAGATGATAAATCAAACAACAACAAACATATGAAACATATGTGTGAACTGCGGTTATGAGACGTATATGAGAACGATCCTTCGCAGTAAAGCACTATTTGAGCAATAGTGAAAATCAGACCTGAAAAAAATTCAGGCCTGTACGGGATTCGAACCACTGACCTCTGCGATACTAGTGCAGCGCTCTACCAATTGAGCTAACAAGCCAACTGGGAGCAGGCCATCAAATTAATTCGACATAAACCCGTAGATGATAAATCAAACAACAA